TGGTCTAATTAGGAAGCCTCATCTAGGAAGAACATTCTTATCTGGATTTTTAAACATCACCCTGTCTCTCCTTCTCGTAGTACTAGCATCAGTAAGACCGAGTGTGCTAACCACTCTTTACACACTCTCCATAAATTGATTCTGATAATCTTGTTCCCCACTTCCTTCTCACCCTCAACAGAAGATGCTGAAATGCTTCATTCTTGCCCCCTTTGGTAGCACACTGATCTCCAACATTTGTTGGATGGGGCCCTGGGCAACCTGATCTAGTGGGGGGCACCCCTGCCCATGTCAGGGAATTGGAACTAGATGACCTTTAAGGTCCCTTCCAACCCAAACCATCCTATGGTTCTATGATTTGCCAGACTTCAAAAAAATAACGCATGAATGTAATTTTTTTTGTTGTTGTTTGTTTAGGCACAAGTTTATTTCATATTTCACTTGGCTAGGTATTCTTCAGCAGCTTACTTGTCCCACCACCTGCTCACCTTTGGACCTACTGATGCAGACTAGTATTAGCCTGGGAGGTACAGCCTCAGCTTTGCCATTTACGGAGGATGGCTTTTATGTAATCTGCTCTTTGGTATCTGGGGCACCTTCACACTGAGGTAACAGGCAACACACGCAGGCTGAGGAGAAACAGCTGGGTGTGTACTAGATTTGAATAAGGTAACTAAGGCTTATTTGAGCTGCTAAATGAACAGGTGTCTGAAAATTGCAAGGGTGTGATTGCCACTAAATGATAGTACACATGGGGCAGCTTGTTTAGTCTTTGAAAACCAGCCAGGCACAAGCAAGGGTCAATGGACAAAGGTCAGCCCTACAACCTACAGAACAGGTATGACCCCCTGGACAGGCACAACTTTATTATACTGTGATTGTATAATACATTACTGGCATTTTTGCTGCTGCTAAAGTATAAACCAGTTACAGGGAGCTGCTGTGCCTATGATTCTTCTAAGGCTGAGAATAAAAAGTTAATAACATTTGATCCTATAGAAACTCAGCTATTAAAAAAGAACTATTGGAACACATGAAAAAAATACTGTTAAGCCTTTTTTATGTCAAAAACCTCTAAAGAAAGACACTGGGAAAAATTTAGCTTAAGTGAGGAATATACAACTGTATTAAAAATATTCTTCTTTACAGAGACATAAATCAGCCACATGATATTTCACAATCACAGCAAGCTTTCAGTCAGATGCTGCTAAATGCAACCAGGGTAAGTGTAGTGGCTTGCCATTTGAAATGGGTACAACAGAAACCAGGAGCTGCAGCTCATCACTCAGCTCAGCGCAAACTCTCCAGCGCAGAGAACACTAACTTTGCTGACTTGTGCTCAATCTGCCTCCTCAGCCTTATTTGCCTAAGTACACAGACTGCAGAATACCTCTCCTGCCAAATTTGACCCATCCTCAAAAATTCAGAAACTTTTACTGATTCTAGTCATTCACATTTTGTATTTTCTTGATAAGAATTAAGGACAATGAATTTGTATTGAGACTGTGTTATGAAGACATCCTTCTTAGCAGTCAAATCCTCAAATTCTGAGAGAAAACTCATTAAAAAAAATCTGTTAAGCATAGTGTAACATAACAATCTTAGAAATTAAGTGATCTGTCTATAATCTCTATCATTTATCCAAGATATTTCTGGTTGTCAGCAAAACATCCCAGTTCCCCTTTTCTTCTTTACACCTTCTTTATATCATTATGATAAGTAAGTTCTTCTCATTATACCATTTCACTCTGTTCATAACAGTGTCCCTGGAAAAAAGACAGTTGTTAGACACCTTAGGAAGGAAAAATGTTTATGTTAAAAAAGCCCTGGGAAATGAAAAGCATAAGTAAGCAGGAGGTAAATTGTTCAGCTAAATTAAAATGAAGTCTACGCTTTCTGTTTGTGCTATCAGTTTCAAGGAGGATTTAATGGAGAAATTCTCCACACATGTTGGAACAGTCTTCCAAATCTAGGCTGTAAAACAGACAACATATAAAGTCCAACTACAAAGTCCAAGGTAAACAGAAGCTGCTGCCTCATTGTTCAGAGGCTGGGGAGCTGCACCATGCCCTTCTACAGCAGCACAAAGAGAAGGGCAGGAGCTCTAAGGCAGCATGAAAGCAAAAATAAAGCTGCAACGTGACTTCCAGGGCACCACACAAACAAAATTAGTCAACAGAGCAGGAGACATGACCTATGAAAGATTTCATACACTGAAAAAGCAGAAATGCTGCTATGCAACTTTGGCAGAGACAGACTTTTTTGGAAATTGCACCAAGACTGAAGTGGTGTAAAACATCAGAAAGTTACTTATAAATATCTGCTGCCCAGTCATAACCATACTAATTAATTTTCCTGCTACTCAAGCATTTTTCACTTGGTTTCCACTATATTTCCATAAACATACACTACCAACTTTCTCCCTTCTCTCTGTTGAGTGCTCGATAAGGTCACAAGTACATCCACTGAGACCAAATATTTCTATATATAGAAATAATTGCCTGTGGAATTAAGTGCACTTGCCTGGGTATCTAGTTCATACTAAACTTAATTTAGCTGATTTTCCTTGTCTATTATATCCATTATTAGGGACGGTGCACGCTGCCAGTAATGCGTATCAAAGATGGAAACTAATTATCTAATTACGTGGCAAGAATGAGTTCCTCTGCGAGAACATTCACAACCATCGGACGCAGACAAACAAGTAAACTATCACAAGGAAGAACCAGTTCCTCCAGACAGCCATGTTACACACACTTCTTTTTTAAAAGGAGGAAAAAAAAGGTAATGTATTCTAGGAATACCGGTTCTCATTAACCATTTCAAATACATCCCATGTGAAGCAAACACTTGAACAGGCCACAGCTCAGGCAAAGTGTGGTAGATAATATCAGCTGATTATGAATATGTGAAATAAAATAAAGTAACTGCAGGGAAACAAGGCTGAGTTTCTGGACATACTATCTCCTAGGTCTCTGCACCCCAGAATAGGATTCACAGAGAAGAGGAGCCACCAGTAATGGAAGAGGGTCAGGTCATGGAGCTCTGAAGAAATCTCAACCCATATAATCTGAGCACGCACAAGGAGCAAGCCAGTGTCACTGTAAGGCTGCTCTTTATCATCCCTATTGTTTTTGAAGGGTTATGGAGAAAGGTAAATGTAATATGTCTTCAAAAAGCACAATAACAAGCCATGGATCTACAGGCTGCTTAACCTCACTCTACTTCCTGGGAAAACCACAGAGCAAAACCCTGAGAAGCTGCTTCTGAGCACAAGGTGAAGATGACCAGGACCAAGTCAGTATGGGCTTAGTAAGGGTTAACCATGTGCAACCAACCTGGTTGCCCTAAATGACAGTATGACTGGATCTGTGATCGAGGGAGAGCACTGGATGTTGTCTACTTTGATTTTAGCAAAGCTTTCAATACTTTTCCCTACAGCATCCTGGTACATCCAAGTTGGGATGTTATTGTCTAGATAGGACAACTGTTAGCTGTGTGAGAAATTGGCTGGATCATCATACCCAAAAGGTCAGTGGTCAACAGCACTCATCTACTCCCAGGCCAGTTACAAGTGCAGCACTTTGCTTAATACCTTTTATCAGTGGCCTGATGGATAAAAAAACACACACCCACTTCAACGCTCAGATGATACCTCACTCAGGGGTGTATTCAATATCCTTGAGGGCAGGGCTGCTGTTCAGAGGGTCTTAGGCTGGAGGCAGAGATGGGTCAACAGGAGCCTTATGTACTTCAGAAAGGACAAATGCCAAGCCCCACTTGTAGGAAGGAAGAGCCCTTGTCTATGAGACAGGCTGGGGACTGGCTGTCTGGAAAGCAAATCTGCCAAAAAGAACCTGAGGGCAGCAATCTGAGTATGAGGCAGCAGCATGCCCTGGCAGCAAAGACAGCCAGCAGGATCCTCAGCCATACCCACAAGAGCCAAGACAGAACATCAGACAAAGTGGTTATCTCCTTCTAGATATAGTCTAACATCAGGTGGGTCACACTTGTTTTCGGCCCCCCAGAAAAAAAATGTTGACAACCTGGCACAAATTCAGAGGAGGGCTGCAAGACACTCGGGGCTGGAGCACTTGCCCTGTGAGGAAAGGCTGACAAAACAGGGCCAGTTCAGCCTGGAGATAAAATGGCTTTGATGGACCACAAAGCTGTTTGTCAGTACCTGTGGGAAAGGTTGCTAAGAAGACTGAACCGGGCTCTTTAGTGAGGTGCATCCAGGACAAGGAGCGATGGTGGCTGTGAATTGAATCAGGATAGGTTCTGGCTTGATACAACAGGGTGGGGATGTCCCTGTGAGGACTATTTAAATACTGGACTAAGCTGCCCAGAGAGGTTGTGGAACCTCTGCTCTGGGGTCCAGCCAAACAATGGCCCAAGCACCCTGGTCTGAATTCACTATCAAGTCTGCCTGGAACAGGAAGTTGGACTAAAGGTCTTGTGAGATCCCTTCCAGCTTGAAAAGTCTTTCCCACTTGCAGACAGAGACCAACACTGGAACCCCTAGAAGGCAGACTAAATGAGACATTTTTTCTTCTCCTCATGACAAGTGCTAGTCTCATCATGTTTTAAAAGACCTGGAAAGAAATTTATGTTGGGGTTGTTTTTTAAACGGATTCCACTGCAATAACTACTTTCTGTTTATCAATGTCCTCCAGGAGCATTTATCAACATTTAAGTTTTTATCAACATGATTATAAGATCAACAGTATCGCCTTTACAGCAGGCTTCATCTGAAACAGATGTGACCCAGGTCAGGGTTTATATACAGATTTAGAACGAACAGGCTTATCCTGTATCTATTATGTTTTGCTCTGGTGTATTCCAAGTTTTTCTTAGTTTACCTCTGCATAAATAGCAGCCATACTACCAGCTCAGTGGGATTTATTGATGTAGTTTATAGACCCAAAACAAACTGCTATTTTCAGAAGACCTCTGAACAACCAAAATGAATTAATTAAATGAAGGGAACATTTACTTACTTATTCCTTGAAAAAGTTCTTCAATATTAACAGCATTCTTTGCACTGGTTTCAACAACAATTGCACCTATAGATTCTGCATATTCTTTGGCATCCTTCATAGGAACCTCCCTACAAAAAAAAAAATTAAAACATTTACAAATAAAAGAAGTCAGATTAAATTAAAAAAATTGGGGGGGGACCCAATCTCAAACACAGCCTGATCAGAAAAGCATTAATATGCTCTTCTTCTCGGCAAAGAAATACTATCTTTCTTCTGTGGCATTTAGATCATCATATTCAAAATATTAACATTTCAACAGTGGTCAATCTGCAGATTTCTGGGACTTGCTGTTGACTTCATGCCTTGTAAGAAGGAAGATAATTTAAATGACAACCCATTTGTTTGTGTTTTAAGCTTGACTTCAATAAGAAAAGCATTAAATGCTTGAGAAAAGACACACAGCTCTGCTGATCCAGGCAGAAACCAGCACTCTCCACATACCAACTGTTCAAACAAGATAGAGTACAAATGTTGTGGATGAAAGCGATAAGAGCATTGCATGTCTTGGTCTTTGCAGCAAGGAAACGAGAGATTCTGAAATAAATATGAAAGCACATCAGCAACAGCGATCTGTGAGGGCCAGTTCACTGGGGAAAGACCACTATTCTGTGCCCTGTCACCAAAGTGACATCACCTTAAAATCCCTGGTAGAATGCCCTCATTTTGTAGCCAATACTTCATATGTCAAAAGCTGGTAAATGTAGTTTACAACACACAATAAACCTCTGCTTCAGACAAGCAAGCCCCATGCTGACCCTGTATCTGCCTGAGTCAGGTGGCAAAGATGCATCTGCCTGTGTCTGCTGCTGTCTGTAACCACCTCCATTCCTAATTTCTGAGCAACGGCTGAGAATCTGAGAGACTGAACAAGCTAACAGGCACCCAAGGTATATCCAATTAGGTGAGCACATGTTGAAACACCAGGCTGCCAGCACGATTGTTCAATACATCAAGTGTTGTTTTGTGTAGCTTTATAGATGTCTGTTGCACATGCAGAATTTACACCAACTCCTTCACCCCACAGCTCTGATATACCAACCCAGACTCCTCAACAATTTCCTCCAAGCCTGAGTGCCTTGGACTTTAACAGAAGGTACCTACGTGGGATCACAGCAATGCAATTTCATTATTAGCATATGGAGCTGTATGTTTTAAATAAATCAGATCTGCTGCTCATGGGAAACAGGGAGAGAGCCAGAATAATTGCCTGATTTATGACAAATCTTTTTTAAAAAAGTAGCCTACAATTCCAACATCTAGATTCAGAGCTTGTTTCTATTGCTTGCTTCTTTGTATTGTCTTTATACGGCAGAAGACACGGGGAAGTCAGCATTCCCCTTACTAATTCTGAAATGGCACCTTGGTCTTTATTATGAAAGATACTACCATCTGCAGATGGCCCTGGAGATAAGAAAAAAGGAACTTAACTACATAACGCAATATTCAAACAACAGTAAAGCGAGAAATTTGAAAGCATAGCATTATGTAAGGAAGACTGTCAACTTGTGTAATTTGGATAAGAAAGCAAACTTCAGGAGTCAAGGAAACAGTAATGCAGCAGCAAGTAACAATATTCCAAGGAAGCATCACAAAACTTTGTAGCTTTCTCTGATGACATTTTTAAAGGAAGCTATTAATGTCCACAGCACATAGGCAATAAGCATCGTGCCATCCAGTGCTGCTGGCATCAAAAAGGCTGCATACATCAAGTGGACTTGACTTATAATCTGCATGTCAGCACTGTTAAGATGTTACCTTGTCAAAAAGGAAAAGTACAAATGCTGGAACTCTAAGAAAAGCGATGAATACATGCAAGATGGGGTGAAGAGGGAAGAAGGCAACAACCATCACTGGAGTGCTGAGCAAGTGTTATTCCAAGGCTACAGTAAAAGTTAGAGGAATAACTTTTAGAATCATCACAGAATGGTTTGGGTTGGAAGGGACCTTAAAGATCATCTAGTTTGAAATTCCCTGCCATGGGCAGGGAGACCTCTCACTAGACCAGGTTGCTCAAAGCCTTATCCAACCTGGTCTTGAACACTTCCAGAAGTGGAGCATCCACAGCTTCTCTGGGCAACCTGTTCCAGTATCACATCACCCTCATAATAAGAATTCCTTCCTAACATCTAATCCAAACCTACTTTCAGTTTGAAACCATCTCCCCTTGTCCTGTCACTACGTGCCCTTATAAACAGTGTCTCTCCACCTTCCTTGTAGGCTCCCTTCAGGTACTGGAAGATCACAATTAGGTCACACTGGAGTCTCCTCTCAGTTCTCTCAGCCTTGCCTCGTAGGACAGATGCTCCATCTCTCTACTCATTCTTGGTGGCCCTCTTCTGGACTCACTCCAACAGGTGAATGTCCTTCCTGTGCTGGGGACCCCAGGTCCAGGTGGGATATCACAAGGGCAGAGTAGAGGGGCAGAATCATCTCCCTCGACCTGCTGGCCCCGTTGCTTTTGATGCAGCCCAGGATATAACTGGCTTTCTGGTCTGCAAGTGCACATTGCCAGCTCATGTCCAGCCTCTCATCCATCAGAATCCCCAAGTCCTTCTTGGCAAGGCTGCTCTTGATCTGTTCACCCCCAGCCTGTATTGATACTGGGGGCTGCCCTGACCTGGTAGAAGGTGCAGCACCTTATACTTGGTCTTGTTAGACCTCATGAGCTTTCCATGCGCCCACTTCTTGAGCTTGTCCAGGTCCCTCTGGATGGCATCCCACCCTTCAGGTGTGCCACCACTCAGCACAGTGTTATCAGCAAATTGCTGAGGGTGCCCTTGATTCCTTCATCTATGTCATTAATGAAGATATTAAATAACACTGGTCCCAATACAGATCCCTGAGGGACACCGCTTGTCACTGGTGTCACTGTCTGAGCTGTTGACCACTACCCTGTGGACGTGACTGTTTAACCAATTCCCTATCCATCAAACAGTCCACAAGTCGAATGCATCTCTCCAGTTTAGAGAGAAGGATGTTGTGGGGGGCCGTGTCAAAGCTTTACAGAAGTCCAGATAAATGACATCTGTAGCCCTTCCCTTGTCCACTGATGTCGTCACTCCATCATGGAAGGCCATTAGGTTGGTCAGGCAGAACTTTCCCTTGGTGAAGTTGTGCTGGCTGTCCTGAGTCACCTTCTTGTCCTCCATGTACCTTAACACACCTTCTAGGAGAATCTGTTCCATGATCTTCCCAAGCACAGAGCTGAGGCTGACAGGTCAGTAGTTCCCAGGGTCCTCCTTTCTAGCCTTTTTTAAAATGGGTACGATGCTTCCCCTTTTCCAGTCACCTGGGACTTCATGACTTTTCAAATATCATGGAGTATGGCTTGGCAACTACATAGCCAATTCCTTCAGAACTCTGGGATGCATCTCATCGGGTCCCATAGACTTACGTAAGTTCAGGTTCCTCAGGTGGACATGAACCTGATCTTTCCTTACGGTGGGAGGGACTTTGATTCCCCACTCCCCATCCTGCTGTCCATCAACTCAAGAGGTTGGGAAGAGAGGCTGCCGCTGAAGACTGAGGCAAAAAAGTTGTTTGAGTACCTCAGCCTTTTCCTCATCCATTGTTACCAGTTTTCCAGCGCTGTTTATCAGAGGGAGTATGCCTTCTTTAACCTTCCTTTTCTGGTTAGCATATCTGTAGAAGCCCTTCCTGTTATTCTTTGCATTCTTTGCCAAGTTCAGTACCAACTTCACTTTGGCCTTCCTCACCCCATCCCTACGCAACCTACGCAAATAGTATTTCATCTCTATACTCTTCCCAGAATACTTGTCCTTGTTTCCTCTGTCTGTGCATTTGCTTCTTTCCCTTTCGTTTGACCAGCAGTTCCCTACTCAGCCATGCTGGTCTCTTGCATTCCTTGCCTGATTTCTTGCTCCTGCAGATTGCCAGCTCTTGCATTCTATGGAAGACTTCTTTAAAGATCTGCTAGCTCTGTTCCATTCTGTTCTGAAAGACGTCAATTATTTCATTTTATCCTTTCCAAATTATTCCATTGACTTAATCTCCCTTGAGATTTTCTGAATAATTAGTGAATAAAGAAGTATTCTGGATGCATGGAGTGAAGATCTGAGCATGAAATTCTGCTGAATTCTCTTAATCAGGGATTTCCAGTGAACACAATTTGTTAAGATGCACCACATTTTAAGGGAAGTGAACACTTCTTAGTTGCTGTTATGACTGTTGACTTCTACAATGCTCAAAGAAGTATTTTGGACACTTACAACATTTTAGCACTGAAGTTACAGCTCCTGTCTTTGAAACAACTTTTTAGTAACCTGTCAGAACGACAGGACACGTATCAGAAGAAAGTATGACTATTACTTAAAAGTATGCTGAACACTCAGCAGTAATAGAGTTGACAACACTACAACAAAGATAAGGATTTATACTTAATAAAAATTGCTTGCCTATCTGTAGAAATTTCTTCAAAGTGGAGAATAAATTTACTTCAACAGAGCACCAAAAACTGATGATAGTCTATTAACAACACTGAGGAAAAGCAGCACGACCCATAAGTGTCCCAAATACATCTTGGAAGCTTAAAACCAGATTCTAGATGCTAATCAAGGAGGGTAATGTGGTCAATGATTATGAGAAATAGTGTCAGTCTTTTCCCAAAGGAAGATAATCAGTTCTTATTGCTTACATTCATTCCTCCTGACATTATCTCCTACACTCTTAGAGATGGCAGAATCAAATCAACTTGAACTGGGTCAGCTTGTCCTCTTTTGCATCTATTCGTGTTGGTCTTAAAAGCAGCTGTCTCTCTGATATCCAGCAAAACATCTGCCAAAAGCTCTACAAAACCAAAGAGAGATGCCAAAAATGCATACAAACAGTAGCTTCCTCCTGTGCGCTCACATCATCTTATTTTTAAATTCTCTGTGCCTGAAGGCATGCATTGGAATCAATCATTGGAAACAATTCGATAAACTGCTGACACGTTTCACCTAAAATCATTTTTAGTGAAGTAAATCTCAAGACATAAAGCAGACAGAGAATGCATACAGCTGCATGCATTGCATAAACAATCAGATTTCTGCAAGAACTGTGAAAATATATCATGTATGAGATAGTCTGCTCTCTATTTTTCCACCAAAATCTCTTTAGTTGGGCATCACTGGATGACTTTAGAAAGAAAAAAGATGGAGGATGCATAAAGAAAAACTGCACAGAAAAATGTTCCCAAAACTATTCATAACTACAGGGAGAAAAAGCCCTCTCCCTAAAAAAAACAAAAAAATTAAGAGACATTAGCTCATGGAGTACTCTGAGGACCATTCACACAGCAAAACAATTTGCACAAGGAAGAGCTATACTGGCTGAACAGAACAGGAGCAAGAATTGGATGATCAGCAATGAGTACACTACAGTAGTGGTTGATAATAATGTTGTGAGAAGATCACAGTCGCTCTGTGAGGAACTCCAGTACTCCCACAACATTTCTGGGGTGCAGGTTTTTCTTCATGTTCTCAAGTCAACCTGCCTCTGGTGGAACTGCATTTAAAAGCTAGCTGTCATAGCAAATGCTTCCAAAAGCAGGGGGAGGGCTGGTTATGGATTCATTTGCAATTGGTATCATTTGTCACAATCTCCAAACTTATTACCCTTGAGTTAATCTGGCTATTGTATCGCTGGGAACACTTAAGCAATAAATTTAAAGTGACTTTCAGGGCAACTGAGAACTCTGATTTGTGCTAACCAGTTTTTGGTTTTATTGTTATAATTGTCCTTTCCTCTTGGAAACTTTTGAGTTTGTCTTTTAGGACTCAGTTTCACCATGTTGACAAGCATATCACAAAATCACGCAGGAGATGACAATATGTCACCTGTGTCCCCGCTTCTTAGCCCAACAGAAACTAGGAGTCTCCTAGAATCAGGGCTTGTTCACTACTTACAGAAAGCAGTGACTCGCAGTTTTGCGTTGGTTCACGGCTGACAGTAGCAGGGGGTAGAGCAAAAAAAAAAACACACAAAACAAACCCCACACAGGTCCTATCCTTATATGGGCCTTGATTCAACAAAGCACTGCATCACTTACTTCAGCTTACACATGTGCTCCAGGGCTCTGATGAACCTGGGCCAAAGTGTAATTATAGAACAACAAGGGGATATATTTGAACAACCATGAGAGCCCATGAGGTTCTAAGAGGACAGCATCAAATACAGTCTTTGAGTCTGTACTCTTAGCTGAAGCAAGAAATAACAGTCATGGACTGACACAAAGAATCACTACTGTACAGCAGAATGTGCTTCCATTTCCTGAAAGGATAAATGCAAATCTAAATAAAGCTAACAAGCAGAAGAGTGATTCCAGCTTCACTATCATTCCAAATAGCATCATCTCAGCCTTCTGCCCAAGGGTGGATTCAACCCTCCCCTCTTTTACTCAGAAGGTTCTTTGCTTCATGCAGATGACAAGCTTTACTTGAGGTTATGCTCCTAAAAAAAACAAGAATACACTTTCTACATCCAGTGTTATGGGACAGTTTCAGTTGTTGCAAAGCACAAGTACTTAAAGCTCTGTGAATAGCACTTTTTTACCTTGGGCGCATCCTTCTAGCTTTACATTGTTGGTTTTGCTCATCCCTTATCACATTCTGCACATTTGAACTGAATGGAAGGGGTAAAAAATAAAACAAAATACTTTTTCATTTCCAATGATTCAAAAGCTAAAGGTTGTAGAGATTATACAAACACAGAGGAAGGGCAGTAAAAAAAGAGGTTAAAAAAAGTACATAATTCAAGTTGTGCTGTTGTTCTTGAGGTTTTGCATTGCTAGAATCATTGGTGTTAGAAAGAACCAATACAGCTGGCCAAAATTATATATTATTATAACAATGAAGAAAAATTGTTACCTGAAGTAAAGAAACAATACAGTTACTGCAGTGAAAGCAACAACAAAAATTATTACCTGATATCAGAAAGATCACATTTGTTTCCAGCAATGGCCATTACAATGTTTTCAGGACCATGTTCTTTTAGTTCTTTCACCCATTTCTTCAAAGTATGAAATGAATCCTAAGACAGAGAAATAACAAAGTAAGTTAACAGCCTACTCTCTGTCAATGTGTTTGCTTATTTTTCAAGTTAGAGGAACGCAGCTTTGACAGTATTAATGAAATAATAATAATTATATAGATCACAAAACTGAAAGATCATTGATGTATCTATGTAATCTGCTTTTCAAGATTTAGGTTATAGGACTTCTTCAAATTAATTCTTGAACTTGGATGTTTCCCTCTTTGCTGCCTCCCCTCCTCCTCACCTCAAAGCAGCACTGAACATTGAATTTTCAGCAATGAAGAAACTAACCTAGCTCTTCTAAGTTTGGATAGTAGCTAATTTCCTTCACTTTCAGTATGAGCTTCATTTGTCTAATTTTAACTTCTGCCCAGTGGATTATTATCTCAACCACTGTCGAATTTTCAGTAACATCCAGGAGAGCTTCCACAGTGATGGTCTCCCCGCTGCATTTCCAAATCTGTGACCTGGTAAACCTAAATTTATTCATTATGAAACCCAAGAGACAGGTGACAATTCACTTGGGGCTTTTCCCCTCCAAGCATAAAATTCAAATGTTCTGATGCTACTTACCTTTTAATAGTAATTTTTCTATTTCTTTACACTATATGAAGTAATAGCATTAAAATCACTTTTGTTTCTAGAGATTCTAATTATAATGCATGGTTGAAAGTATTACTGACACTCAAAGTGAGCTCCCAAATATATTATAAATAACTTTTTCCCCTTCAGAAACGCACATAAGACTTGTGTCTAAATCAGCAATGGCTGTATCAGTATCAATGCAGGTAGAGCACCACCAGTCAATTGGGAAAAAAAAAATCCATTTTAATGATTAATGCTGAATGTTAAGTATCAGAATTGGCATTCTTTTCCTATTTTCCCTTCTTTATCCTGAGAGCTGTTCCACATAAGCTTGGAGAAAGGCTGGCAAAACAAAATTATATTCTTACAATATATTACAAGATCAACTGTAAGATATTTTTGATTTAAATATGTATCAATCCAGCACCACTCACTTTTCCTCGCCTTTTCTTGGCAAAGTAGCAAAGGAGAATAGAACCGCTGTGCAACAGTGACCACCATCATCAGCAACAGATCATTACACTAATGCACTGGAGAACCAACCCAACCCTCTCAACCTAGTGCTAAATAATTCAATTGGCAAGAAAGGAATAAAATGATAGTGAACTGTCATGACCGACCATCCATCCATTAACACCACCTCTGACTCAGCTTTATCAGCAGGGGTTTTCTTCCAAAAGCCTCTTTCACTGCATTCAGCTAGAATCTCTTAGCCTTCTCTGTCTGAGAAATGAGCCAGAGCACTTTACGGTCTGAAAACACAATTTTTATTCCAAATTATTAATGTTGAGACAAAAGGTCAGAGACTTATTATTTCATTACTGTTTTCAAAGTTAAGACATGAGTCCTGCAATGCAAACATGAGATGATACGTTTAGATAAAAATAATTAGTTTTAAAATCGGTAATGTGAAAACTTTAATTTCCACTCAGCTGATAAAGCAAATAGCTGCTTTTTGTAGTAGAAATTCAAATCCATATAGAGAACACAGGTGGTGGTACCGGGAGGGGGTATTGCAGGAAATTATCCTGTCTACTTAGCCAGAGGAAATCCAAAGAAACTTTGACAAAATGCAGTCTCCAACATTTTGTCTAGATGAAGTTTAAACAACACAGAAGCAGGACTTTTTATTTAATGTTTTACTGCAGATGGACACCTCCATCCAGATCTACACAAAGTATCAAATCACAGACACCCCAGATAAATTAACATATAAATACTTCTTAAGTTGTGAGGTTTAATTCCAACTCAGGCCCAAGCAGAGGAATTAATACAGGCAAAAAGCAATCAGAAGATCTTACCTGTTTGGTGATATCATAAACTATCACGGCTGCTGCTGAACCTCGGTAGTACATTGGAGCCAAGGAATGAAACTGTTAAAACATAACCCCCCGACAAAAAATATAATTAATAAATCAGAATCATCACACACTTTGTCAGGTCACAAAGGCTTGCCATGGCAGGACCACTCACTTTCTATCATCCCATAGAGAACAGAGTTCTTCAGCGGTCGCACATCTTGAATTTTCCTTAAAATTAAACACCAAGAAAGCAGAGCTCCTTTATGTCCTGCTGTTCCTCATCCTGCTGAATTAATGAGATCAGCACTTACTAGTTCAATGTATCTTTTCCACTACAGGGCATGGACTCTGAGGACAAGTTTTGACATGAAGATCACCTATACTTGGAAGTCTAATCTGACAGCATATGGACCCCTTTCCCTGGCAAACCACATCACTTTGCTTTGTAGGTCTGAGACTGGATTCAGTTTGGGTTTGAGTTTTATAAAACATTGCAAATGACTTTGATAAAGCTAACTTGTCAGAAAAATCTGAAAACCTGTCAAGTTTACCTATCCTATAAGACAATAGATATTTTTAAAAAGATGGGTTCTTGCAGTTACTCTTCAGCTTTTTGTTTCAAGGAAAACATCCTTTGAGAAAAATAAAAAACAACAAACAGTAAATAAGTTTGTTATAACAACCAAAAAACAGCATAATTTTCATAATTTAACATGACTAAGCAGTTCACTTTTAGCTTACAATTACAATTAGAGAAAGGAAGTAAAAGAGTATTTCTGCTGATTCAACTAAACTTTGTCTTAAAAAAAACCTAAAATAATCTTTCTTGGAAAATACATTCAGTCTTGCTGTACTCGCAGAGACATTTTATAAATTTTTTATTTGAAAAATAATCTGCAAAAGCTGCATATTAAGCTGCAGCTGATAACTGAGGTCAACTCCTAAATCAAATACATTATTAGGGTAGAGTATAAATCTCACTGCCCAGCGAACATGCACGTATCCATGTGTTATGATGCAAACCTCTGCAGATTTACTGGACACATCTTTTTCTCAGAACTGTACCTACAGATGGAACGTTCAGATCTAGCAGCCTCCACATTTACTGCTGTTTCATGAGCCATGTATCACGCAAGTTATTTGCAATACTGGTTCACTTGCCAGTTTGTAAGCTATTCATCACAGATCACGCACAGCAGCTCAAGGTCGACACTTTCTTTTATAACAGTGTGGATGCACAGCAGCAGTGACAGATGGTCAAATGCTGAAGTGTTTGGGGGAGTGAGGCAGGTGGGAGAGCTCATTAATAGGAGAAAACAGCAGGAAAGAGGATGAGAAAAGAAAGAGGAATCAGTCAAGAAGCGTGGTTTGAAGAAATGAGATCAGCCAAGATCCTGAGGGAGTTGGGTGGATGTGTGCCTTCTGGAGTTTTAGTGTTTGGCTTTATTACTTGCATGTTTAATGCAATAAATGCTTTCCAGAGTTTTTATGCTTCCAAATCATGACAGAAATTTTCGGTCTGTTAGAACTGAATAGCCCATTTCAGTTGGAGTGGATCTACAACAATCATGTAGACCAACACCCTGATCAATTCAGTGCTGGCCAAAAATTAAAGCATCCTGTTAAGGGCATTGTCCAAATGCTTCTTAAACACTCACAAGCTTGGGGCATTAGTTCAGATAACAAGAAGGGTTTTTCAAGTATGTTAATAGTAGAGGAGGTCTAAAAAAAGCCATTGGACCCATTACCTGTTTCATGACCACTGTGGCCAAGGCATCCCACCTACCATCATATGCCCCCCAGCTTCTTCTCTAATCACAAATAACAAGTCTAGGAGGGCATCTTTCTGAATTGGCTCACTGTGTACCCGTGACTAGAAGTTATCTCCTACAAAATTCAAGAACTTCCAAGACCTGCCCCTCAACATGTGTGTTGTGTTAAAGCAGCCTGAAAATCAGGGACCTTAA